CGGATGCATAGGAGATAAAACGGTAAGTTTTCCCTTTGGCATAACAGAAATTAACTCTGCATCAGGGTCTGGCATTATCATAATTACCAAATCTGCCCTCCAAAAACTTTCATTAACAAGACAAGCGTTTGCCGGTGGGGGAAACTAAGACTTCTTTTTGTGAGGTTTCCTTTTCTCTCATGGTGAATGGTGGGGGACAGGGCGGCGTTTCCAGTGCATTATGACGTGCGTAATGACGTGTTCAACTCAAGTTCGCGAAATTCAACTTGGTGACCGACGGAGTCCATTCTGTTCCAATCAAAAGTGTATTCCCCAGAGGCTAGGGAATGAATTCTAAACATTAAAGAGTGCTGGGGGAAAATGGCGACTTTCGGTGACGTCTTGCTGTGAGGAGTTTTCCCAAACATTTCTGCTTCGACATTTGTAGGACTTCTACTGACAAAACTTACCATTTATACCTCCGATTTACATTTGATTGAATTGTTAACTCGAGGCGTCACCTCAGAGAAAAAGAATCATACACTCCGAAAGCTGTGTTGTTAAGAACTCATGGTGACAACTCTTTCTCGTGTGATTTGGTATGTAATGTATTAAAAATAAAAGCATGATTTTGATGCAACTACATATTTCTTAAAAAATCTCTTTGCAGAAATGTTATCGAACGATGATGATAGCAGGTTTTACTGTAATTCTCGTTGGACATCTGTTGGTGGGACCTGCTCCATTTCTTACGTTCTTACCAGCAAAGTATGTATACTCGTCATTCTGCATATTATTATGATTATGTTAACTAAAAGTAATAGTAAAAAAAAACGATCTTCGATATTCTGAGCAATTTTGTACACGTTCAAAAAATTCAGAAGTCAATGAACCTGCAAACATGGATTTGTAGTTGTGATTATCAAGTTTCACGCCTGTCTCCAGAACGATCCAAAACTGAGGTTCAGTCACCTTTGAGAAATGTTATGTTAATGATAAAACTTATTCGATTCCGCTGTTCTTTTAGGACGATTTGGCTGTTGATTTTAGCAGTGTTCCTTTATGGAATTGGAGGTGCACTTGGCTTTGTACCTATCATGCCTGAACTTATTAAAACTTTAAGGTAAGTACCAATGTTTAAGTAAATACAACAACCAATGCAGGGGGGGCACAAAAGGCGTTACTAGTTTAATAGCAATACACAAAGCTATACCTTAGTTTCCCAGGTAAATTCATCTCCGCCATGATAGATGGGAATATGTTCTTTGATATTACATTACAACTTCGAGACCTCTGAAAATGAGAGATAATGAGTTTTCCTTTTCGATATCACTTATCCGTCGGTGTCTGTTTTTTTGAATGATTTTTAGTGGGTATGCTTGGCATTTGAACTGTTAAGTCAGTGTAACCAAGTCCTCTCTCCTTCATCTTTGTCTGTGAGCTTTGTAATTACTTTTAACTAGTACAGCAACTCTAGATCGATAACTCGAACCTTAAAAAAAGAGTCGTTTCTTTTTTCTCTAAAGTAAAGTCGCAGTAAATAAATGGCGGATTTTCAGTGGTATTGGTTTGGGTTTGAGTAAGCGCGAAGTTGGAATTGGCAAGTGTTGAGTTATAGGAAGTCAACTTTATTAATTCATTGACTTTTTTATTACAATCTTATGTTTGTACTTGCTTCTTGCTTCTTTTCCTCTTACAGGGCAGATGGTATGTCCAATGATTCCTCCGCAAACGTCCTTGTATCAAGTATTCACAATTCTATGTACTATTTAGGGTATGTGCAATTTTTTTACTGACTCTTTCTCTCTTTTGTTTCAATCGCTAAGGCCACAACGATTTGAAGAAGGGCCGACGCTATCATGGGTTATAAATGTTTTTCAATTCCTTCTTTCCAGGTCAATGATTGGGCCTGTTCTGGCTGGAGTATTATATGACCAATTTGGATATGAGTGGTCCACGAGTGTAAGCGCTGTCTTCATCATTCGAGGCATTTGATCCACGCTACGAGACTTGATATTATAAAGAGTTTTGGGGATGTCAGTATTTATCGCGCCCGGGGTGGGGGGGGGGGGGGGGGGGGGGGGGGGGGGGGGGGGGGGGGGGGGGGGGGGGGGGGGGGGGGGGGGGGGGGGGTGTTTTTTTCAGCTCCTGCTGATTTGTTTATTCACGTTTTTTTAAAAGATCTCTTTAAGGTTAGTAAATAGTTCGATAACGTTAATATCAGCTGTTTCTGTAAAAGCACCTTACAAGTAGCTACTATACAACCTCTTTTCTGAAATAATCAGCAAGGTATGTAACTGAAGTTCACAATATTCTTTCTTATATTGAGCCTTTTTGACTTGACTTTCACGTATGAAGACAGTGAAGTTAAGTGAAGCTGAATTAACGGTTTCAACGACGAAAAGTAATCAACCAATCAGTCTTTTAAGAAACTGACCTAAATCATTCCACTGAAAATAATTCATCGGTTGACTGATGACTTCCGCTTGTGTTGTCGAAACCGAACGATTCAACTTTACGATTGTACGATGCTTTTTTCTTTTCTTAATCTTAGGGAAAATACTGACTCAGGGAGGATACCTCTCGTAGTTAACTATGTGCAGGAGGATAACAATTGATTGAAATGTCGACAAGCGCTGAAAACGTTGCATTAATATGAAGCAAGGAGGGAGGACTTTATGTTTATTGTATGACGTCACATAGCAACACAGACACAGGGCAATATGATACTCGTTTCGCTAAGTTTTATAAACCTAGTGTGAGGCCAGTGTAGTGTGTCTTCCTATATTTGGATAATTACCTTAACTATTAGATAATCTGTATTTTACTGGTTAGCACAAACATGACCACAATCACATGGTTATCCTTAAATATCATTTTATGTTATTAAGTTCATTGTATTCTAATAAAGCAGTTGTGTAGCGCACTTGGTCTGATTCACGCATTATGGTAGTATATCGAACCCTTATACACAACAGACAGCAATAGTAGCTTACAAAGACAAGGCCATTACAAGCCTCTGGTGGGTTATTATTGACTGATTTTCCGTGAGTGTACAAGCGTTGTTGTATAAAGTCTGTGAGTTTGACTGTTATTGTCCTGTGAAAGTGTTTATTTGTAATTTCACTCAATACAGTTCGAGGCGAATGCGGCTGACCATTATATTTACTTCCGTATTTGTCAAAACCAAACAAAATGTACGCCGTTTTTTCTGTACCAACCATTCACGGAGTTATTAAATAGATTCAGAACTGCTTCACAAACAGAGGGTGATATCCAATGCATTCAGTCAAGGCTAGTGCATCCCGAAAATACTGATTACCCAGTATCCACTGTTTTGTATTTTTGGGACAGTTTTTTCTGTATCTCCTGTTTATTTTTCATATCCCTAAATTGTTTTTTCTCCAATGATATTTTTTTCTCTGCTGGCTCCATTGCTTTATAGTATTGTTTTTTTTTCCATGTCTAATCATCAATTTTTTTCTTTCCTTTCTGTCAAATACTTTTCATGAACATGTAGCAAACAGTATTCTGTATTGTCCTACAGTACTATATTTCTCTAGTATTTTTCTAATGGCATTAACAAGTGAAGCCATTCCATTTATGTTTTTAGTGTACTGAATTGAGGACGTGTCTCTTTCATGATAAAGCAAGGGGGAATACATATATTTTGATCTTTTTGTGGGTTTAGAGGTACAACTTTGCACAACCTTGTGCATTCACTTTAATTATGTATTATTTCATTCTCAAGAATTGACTTGCTTTGAAGTGAATCAGTTAAAAGTTCTTCACTCTTAGACAAATTATCCAAATTTCCTTCAGTTTCACAAACATCCACAGTTCTTGGAAGATTAACTGGTGATTGCTGGTTGTGTTCTAAACTTGATTTAGGACACATCTTTTTGCCTTTGTCAACAATGGTGGGTAAGGATGAGTTGTAATTCCAGTAATTACATGACTTCATTTTAGGGTAACAAAGAGAGTATAGAGCTACAGCACAACTTAGATTGAAGTATATGGTTTCATTCAGACTGTTTTGAGAAACCATTCTATTTTGAATATTCTCAATTTCTATTCCTCTAACTTCAAATATATCATTGTTATGTATACTCTGAAAATAATGCACTAAACTATCAGGAGACAGTACGTCGAGAAGAACACGTGTACCTTGAGGCTGCCGTCTACCATACAAATCTCTTACATGAGAATCAAATATTTTGAACCCCATATTACTATTACAGTAATACACCCTACTGTTACAATGAAATTGGTGTAGCTTTCAAATATGAGCGATTCAAAGGCTCTTTGTAAAGATGTACAGTACTGATATCCCTCAATGGCAATTTCTTGGTGAACAGTACCAGAGTAGCTTACACTGTATTTGTCGTCGCCGGACGACAATTGGACTCGGCTGATTCGATTTTTTTTTTAACAACATTATTCGCTCACGTTACTCCAAACTCCTCAACTCACCTTTTTTTTTATCTCACACATGAGCACGTGGTCCATTGCAACAAGCCGACCTGTCAATTTACATAGCAACACAAAAAATAAACAAATAAATGAATAAACGTACAGGAAGCGGGAGGGACATCCCCGCCCCTAGTCGAGACACAACGTTCGTCGAGACGATTAACAGTTCTACACTTCCGCTTCCTCTAATAAACAAAGTTTAACAATCAGTCTCTTATACTCGCCGTGCTAAGTACGCACTGTAACTGCTCCAACTAACCCATCCCGCCCAGGATGAGTAGATACGATTCTGCCCAACGGCCATACACCTCGCGGCTGATTGGGCTCTGCAACTAGGACAACATCTCCCTCTTTGAGGTTCTGTTTCTTCTCTTTCCACTTCTTCCTCTCTGTCAGGCTAGGAAGGTATTCCTTGGTAAAACGTCTCCAAAAGAAATTAGCTAGGGCTTAGGACCGTCGCCACATCTTTGTCGAGCTGATCTCACTATCACTAACTTCAGCATCTTCATAACTCGGATTCGCCCGCAACAGCAAGAAACGATTTGGGGTTAACGCTTTGATGTCTCCTGCATCATTGGACACATACTTAGTATTCCTTCTGCTTCGACTAGCGCAGTTCTCAGCACTCCTTTGGAAACCGTCCTGTGTGCTAGAATTGCTTTCAGTGTCTTCTTTGTGCACTGTACTAGTCTCTCCCACGCTCCTCCAAAGTGCAGGGCGCTTGATGGCTGAAACTTCCACTCGATTTCCTTGGGCGCACAGAAGTTTTGTATCCTTTCTTCATCCAATAATTTAATGCATTTCCGCAAGTCGTTATTTGCACCAACAAAGTTTGTTCCATTATCACTGTGAATGCTCTGCGGTCGTCCACGTCCCGCAATGAATCTCTTCAATGCCATAATGAAATGATCTGTTGAAAGATCTTCCACAAGTTTGAGGTGGCACGCTCTAGTACTCATGCAAGTGAACAAACAACCATACAATTTAATCTCATTGCGTCTTTCCCTAACTAACATAGGCCCAGAAAAGTCAACTCCAGTGTTCCTGAACACCATTCCTGGCTCAAGCCTGCACTCTGGTAGACTTCCCATTCGCTACTCTTGAGGTTTTACTGTCTGGCGAAAACAGTAGTTACACTTGAACTTCACGTTCCGCACCGCCTGACGACCATGGATGATCCAATACTACTGCATTACTTGATTATGCAAGTGTTCAGTTGGCGGGTGGTGGTAGATCTGATGTATTTCCTCCACGATCAGCTGTGCAAGCTCATGGCGTGAGTCAATTATTTTGGGATGTCGTGTCTTGTATGGTAGGCATTGTGCTCTCTGCAGTCTTCCACCAACAACTAAGAATCCATCTCCTCTGTGGATCTCCTTGCCCATCTCTAAACACTGTATCTCTTGGCTGAATGACTCAAATTGCGCCCTCTTCACTAGATAATTCTGAGCAGCTCTCAGTTCACTCGACGTAAGTGCTCCCAGTAGACGCGCTTCCTTCTTAATTCTTGCATTGTTCGCGAATCGCATCACATAAGCGGTAACTCTTCTTAGTTAGTTTCAGAGAAGAATACTTCTTCTATCCCAACAGGACCTCATTTTCCTGTGATGCTCCAGCCCATCTTCCCTTCTTCTTTTCACTCACTTCATCTTTCTCGGAAGGTGCTTCGACTTTATTCTCCGGCCACAGTTCTGCTGATTCATACAGAAACTTGGGTCCACTATTGTAGCGAAAGCCCTTGCAAAGTTCTGTAGGACCTAGTCCACGGGAGATGTCATCTGCAGGATTAGCCTCTGTCGGCACATATCTCCAACTCACTGTGCCCACCCCCAGTGAGGTCTCCAGATTGCTCATAATTGTGTGAATCTCAGACACCCGATTGCCGACGAATGCTTTATAAGTGGAACTTTTCTGGCGGATCCAATGCAAGGCTGTGATGGAGTCACTCCAGAAGATTATCTTCTCTATCTTTGCGGTCATTTCTTTCACTAGTGTTTCAGCTAATCGCACAGCTACTAGAGCTCCCATGAGCTCCAGCCAGCAGATAGAAAGTAACTTTAAAGGGGAAACACGGCCTTTTCCCGCAATAAGACTACACTCTACTGTGTCATCTGTAAATGCACGTCTTAGGTACGTACACGCGCCATAGGCATCCTGGCTGGCGTCACAAAATACATGAAGTGCTGTTTCTCGGATAGGTTTCTGTTCTTGAAATAAAGTTCTTGGAATTCTCACTTCCTCAAGCTTCTCTACTTCCCTGTTTCCCTGTGCCATTCACGCCACTCTTGAAGATCAGCTTCTTTCAACTCATCATCCCACCCGTACTTCATACGATTCAGACTCTGCAGGATGATCTTACGTCTGATTGTGAATGAGAGGAGGAGTCCTCGTGAATCCCAAACAGAGAACGCTTGGCTCAAGATCTTCCTCTTTGTCGTACCCGGATCACCCTTCAGTCCGGTAAACCGGAGCATATCCTCCTGGGCATCCCAAATGACGCCCAAAGTTCTGTCCGTTGGCAACTTGTCTTCACTCAGCTCGAGGAATCGTGGAAATCTATCTTGCTGCGGGATGGTCGCCAAGACGTCTGGGTCATTTGTCAGCCACTTGTGTAGGTGGAAACCTCCACGGCGCAACAACACGGTCATCTGCTTCCGCAATTCAATTGCTTCCTCACGAGAATCCGTTGATGATAGGCCATCATCCATGTAAAAGCACTTGTAGACTGCTTTCACACCAAGAGGTAAATCTTCCCCATTCTCATCAGCATTTCGCCTCATAGTATAGTTCGCTCTGGATGGTGCAGACATTTCTCCAAACACTGTCCTCTCAAACTGATGGTACATTTCTTTCACATCAGCAGCCATAGCAATTCTTCCTTCGCAAAACCTAAGGAAGACTCCAAACAGAGAGGAAAGAAGATGTGGCCCTGTGTAGATCTTATCGTTCAAAATTTGTCCCATGAATTTTGCTTATGCATCGTATACTCTTCTGAGACGACCAGGTTTCTTTGGGTTGATGACAAATCTGTGTGGTAAGTACCAAGTCACTTTACTATCGCACTGTACTTCCTCTTCACTCAGTTTCTTCACATAGCCTTTCTCAATGTCATCCTGGATTGACTTTGCATATCTCTCTTTGACCTCGGGGCAACTCTCAAACTTCTTCTATAGCGATTGCAGCCTCTTCTTTGCCATTTCGTAATTGTTGGGTAGAGATGGTTCCTCTTCTCTCCAAAGTAGGCCTGACACATACGCATCTTCACTCGCATTCTTAAAGGTCGTCTTTTCCATTAGTGACAACGCTCGCTTGTCCTCAATTGAACGGGTTGGATCTGCTAGCTTCACCACACCTAACGTTTCTATCTCTGACTGAGCCACGACCAGCTGCTTCAGCTCCTCATCTTCAACTGAACTTCTTTCTTACACCTTGAACCCATTGTACGGAGATGGTACTCTTCGCTCACCAGGTAACCAGTTAGTCACCGCCTATCCAAGTAGGGTCTCAACTGCATAAGGTTATGCTCCAGTTATGAGTTGCACTGGACCTGTGTCGGTGTCATGTAAGTCCAAGTTCTTCAGGTGCTGATACTCTTTCTTGATTATTGACCACTTCAACTTCTGATCCGGACCATTCAGGCTAGGAATTGTTTTCACATCTCGCAAGGAGTACTGGACTTCCTCTCTTCCGACTCGTGCGACACGACATCTCTTGATGTGGTGGGAAGAAAACTCCTTCCGCACATTTACACAAAGTGTGATTAGTGGACTGGTGAATTGGGCACCTTTTTGTTCCATAACTGGTGCGTACAGATTCTCCTGTAGCTCCTACAAACAGCTCAGATTGTGATTTGTCAGCTAATTTACGTTTATCAACTTTAGATGTATCTGAACGCTTCCACTCTCTCTTCTCTGGCATCCACCGCTGCTTGAACTCACTGATTTTTGCCTCTTTTTCCAGCCAATTGGCAAATGAATCCCAGGTTGACAACTTTGGTTTTCCTTCAACAAACTCGGCCCATCTACCGCAAAGGCGTGCAGGAAGTTTAGCAACAGTTGCTTCAGGGACTTGCGAGTTAAGCTCATGAAGGAAGTCGTGCTCCTTGAAAATACCTATAAGCCCAGAAACTATTTCTTGATATTGTCTGATCTGCGTACTATTTTCTTTCACTATGGTCGAAAATTGATCTATGCGCTTCTTTCCAGCTGACAAAACTGTGTCTACACGGCCAAAACGCTCCTCAAGCGCAGTCCATGCCTCCTCGTATTTGTTTGAACCTGGCATGAATTTCGCTAGACATGATTTTGCACTTCCATCTACAGAATCTAGCAGAAATTTAAGCTTCTCTGTTGCATCGTAAACTTCCCTTTTATCTACTTCAACATTAAACGCTGCTTTGAATTTTGAGTACTCTAGTGGATTTCCATTAAATTTCTGCACATTTGGTTTAACGATTTTCACAAAGGCTGGCAGGATTTTCTCAAACAACTGATCTGTCTTCGACGTCTGCACACTTGGGTTTCCCGTGGCAGAGGTTTTCAACTCAGCTTGACCTTTAGCAATAGATGACTCACATGTGTCCTTTTAACAGGGTTGACTAGAAACCTCTGTTACGGCCTCTGGTTTAGTGGATTTAATTTCAGGTTTTTCAATAACAGTGTTTTCAGTAATTCCCAGGTCTAAGCGCGAGACCCGATCGTTCACACCGTCTAAAGGTAATTCATTCAACTCTTCATCAATATCGCCTTTTTTCGACATACCTTCTTCCTGGGCGATGGCATCTTCGAACTCATATTCCAATCTTGATTCTTCAGCTTTCTTTTGAAGTTCCAAAAGCTTTGCACGCTGCTGTTGTTCGGCTCGCAGACATTCGATCTCATTTGCGAACGATTGCTCGGCTATTTTTAGTTCAAGGGCTAACTTCTCGGCTTGCAATTTCTTTCTTAAAACGGAACGTTTACTTGAAGTAGTAGACTCACTTGGCGTAAACAGTGGTGGTGTTTTGTGTTCTCCTCTGTTCGAGGCACCCATCTCAGCGCGACTCGAATTACTGTTCACAATATTAAACCGCACAGTTCGGTAATAATATTACACGCAGTTACATGAACACGGGTGACTTACAGCTTGACTCGGCGATTTTTCGCTTGATTTCGCTCAACATCCTGCTCGAAGGACCAAATGTCGTTGCCGGACGACAATTGGACTCGGCTATTTGATTTTTTTTTAACAACTTTATTCGCTCACGTTACTCCAAACTCTTCAACTCAACTTGTTTTTTATCTCACACATGAGCACGTGGCCCATGGCGACGAGCCGACCTGTCAATTCACATAGCAACACAAACGAAAAAAAATAAATGAATAAATGTGCAGGAAGCGGGAGGGACAGTATTCCAGTTGATAATCAGTATCAAACACATTTAATGCTGTTGGTAATTCTGACTGCATTAAATGTGCCCGTCTGGCTAATTGTGACAAACTTGAATAAAGCTGATTTCCAATATTCATTATTTGTATAAGATCATTTGCTGAGCTGATCCCTTGTGTGTCATTGTAAATCAAAGAACACAGACTCGTCGCAACACATTGTTGTCCTGCATTCTGTCCCAAAACTAACTCTTAACCTTGACTGTATGGAGCTACTATTGTTTTGTTAGGGTCAACATATGTTGGAGGGCCACGATTTTTTTTCTGTCTCTACTTAATTTATAGTTGCAATAATTTGCTACACGAGCCTCATTCTTGCAAGAACACACCAGTTTTAATCATCGACTGGCACGATATTTTACCTTTCATATACATTGAAGAATTCTTTCACGACAGTTCAACTTAAATGTCTTTTTATTTAATAGTTTCTTAGTGTTAACATAACAGTATAATGTAAATGACACAGGGATTCACAGGAGAACACGTGCATAGACAAATTTTCTAACCTTTCTGCTCTTGATCCTTAACCTTTTCAAACTTCGTATTGGTATTCTGCTTGGTTTACGATCAGGCCTACATACACGATGAGATTTGCGTCTATGCTTCTCTTGATTAATATTAGATAGCTTAGTTGATATAGCATGTTTCTCGATGAAAGGTTCACTCATAAATGTTCGCTCATAAAGAGTTATCTCATAAGGTTCACGAACCGATCCGTTCCGAAAACGCTCGACATATTTTAGTATGGGTCTACCGCGAACGATGTGAGCATATTTTGTATGCGTTTTGAGCGTTTCATGCACAGTGTCTGTGCTGATTTTGTGCCGCGGAAGCTTCTCTTCGTCCGCCATTACCCATCCTGTGTGCTCATCAGTCAAAACGTCGCGCATGCGTCAGACTCGAAAGTTTGCGCATGCGTGATGAGGACTTGACTGCGATTTGCCACCGAACGAAAAAAAAACGAAGCCGGAATTTCAACTCCGGCGTTTCCCTCAATCCCAATATATGCGTTTTCAAAAGCAATGTTATTACGCATGTGTCATGACACTCTATGTGATTTTACACAAAGCGCTAAGCCCAATAACAGAAAACAATAGAGTAGGTAAATCGAAAGTGTCACTACTGTATCTATACATTTTCTAAGGTGCTGACAAGGAGAATTTGTTTAATAACCAAGAGCTTTTACAGTTGATGATCATTTCCTTGACTCTTGATTCAGGGGTGCTATTAGGGTCCAAAAGTTTAACTTCAACTGTATGAGAGGGAAAAAAATTTCAAGAAACAAATCACATACCTGATTTTTGAGGGAAGAGGATCCTCATCAGAATCTAACAGAGATGTAAGATTAATTTAGAAATAAGTCCAGGACATCATTGTGATGTTGTACGTATAATTATGTGAATCTTTTTACACCATGTTTCCGTAATAATGCAAATTGCATTGGGAATTGACAAGGACACTGTACAGCACAACTACCTAGCTTACATGTACAATGAAACCATTAAAACTAATACAGAGGTATAACAGTTTGCGTAGAGTCTCAACATCTGTTCCTTTTGAAACTGTTGGTGTTCACCCGAAAATATTACCTGATTCAATAATGTTTTTTCCTTTCTTCTTCTTCTTTTGATTTTCTTTTGGTTTCTGTTTCTGGGCAATGTCATCATCTTCACTACTTGATAAACCCTGCCCAGCAAATAAACAATAATATATTTGCACAAATGTGAGATTATTATGGTTCTTTGGAGCTAATAATAACAACAAAGACCAAACAGAATTGGATAACATCAAGGGGGGTGTTGTCCCTTGCAGCACAACTTTCTCACGAAACATTTTCTTCCACCTCAGATAATCAAAAGAAGACACCAGGCTTGTGGAAAAAATAGTCAGGGTTAGGTGAAGTCTCCAAGTTTCTTTTTCAATCACTTTCAAGTTAATCAACAATTCATTTTACCTTTAGTTGAAATAAATGAAAGTTAACCAGTACTTGTCAAAATCATGAAATAAGCATTAGTATTACATACTGCAACTGCTCTGCAGAATTAATAAGCTGCAGTTTGAACAAATTTGCAGGGAATGCTTTTGTCCAAGATATTATAAACTTGAGTGAAATTTAGGTGGCAGTGTATCACATCATGCTGTTTAACCCTTAAACTCCCAGATGTGACTAACATGTAACTTCTCCCTAGACTATCCATACAATGTCCAACAAAATGGTTATGAAAAATGTTTTTATCTTGATCTAAGAAAAAATTCCTATAAAAATGTACAAGGAAATGTGTAGCAACAAGAAGGGAGAATTAGCAAACAGATCTTAGAAGTTAAACGGTGAATACAAAATTGCTCCATTTTACAACCCTGTTTAGGATTAAAGAAAAAGGCAAAACATTGTAACTTATCAGCCTCACTCAGCTACCCTGACATACTCTGACAGACCAATGAAAATCATACTTACAAAGTTAGTTAGCACACAGTACCACACCATTTCTCACATTCCAGTCCAGAAAGATACCTTGGGTTAGATATATGTAGTGGAATGAAACTCTTGGTTAAAACATGTTGTAAAATTACCTACCATGTGCAAAATTAAAGATTCGTGACAAAGGGAATTTTACCATGTGTCCCCCTCACCACCCCCCGGGAGAAGACAGATGGGAATGTGAATTCCACCCGGGTCTATAGACACACATCATGACCGATACAGTCAGGCAGGGCTGTGATATGGGAAGATCTTTTCTCCGTCGCCTCTGAAGTCGAATTCCCTGAAACCACAAATAACTCTCTCTCTTAAATGCTACAGTATCCATTACTTACCTTGGTTTTTGTTCGGCGCTTTCCAACATCTTGTTTCGTTAATGACTTCGCAGTAGAATCTTTGCCGCGCTTATTTTCTACTTTCGAAGCCCCTTGCTTCGCTGTCTTTCCAGTAGGGCTGAAGAACGATCGAATATCTTGTAGAAAAATATGTAGTTATAATTGAAACACCGGTTACAAGACTATCACTGGGAACGAAAACGACTAACAAACCATTTTAGTATAGTGATGTGTTCACATCACTCTCAGACATTTCGCGCCATCTTTGAAAATCTCCTGTACTTCAGTCAGCGGTCACCAAAGTAGCTAGCTTCCAGACTCCTGCTATTTCTCTTCCGCTAATTTTCCGAGAAAGACAATAGGTCATAAGATAACTGTAATCTAATTCGAGTTGATGAACCAAATAGAGTTCCTCGTATGAAAGGAGCTGTCAGATGAGGGAGGTTGAATCACATGCAGTTGCCCCAACAGATTCCTTTGAAAATGGCAAATAGATCCGCGGAGGACACTTCTCAGGAGTACGTACTCTGTTGTTGATGTCGAAATTTTCATGAATGCGCTGTAGATTCATGCAAGCTTGTTCTGAGATTTGGTTTCTTGTGGTTTATTTCGTTGCACTGTCGTCTCCTCGAGGTATATTGATTGATTGAAAAATATCCAAATTCGCAGCATGAAATTTGCCAAAAGTTTTATTTGCTGTTATTCAAAAACAATTTTATGTCATATAAATTGACCCTATAGAAAAAAAACAACAACTACGTATAAAAGTTCGACTGATTGGACATGGATGGAATAAATGTGGTCGTGATTAGTGCGCATTTTCCACAACTTAAAATTACACTGCTTTCTAAATTGCATTTGCTTGAGTGGTAGCAGATGATGGAGTTTATGCGCAGAATAGGATACAACTGAGTCAAAGAGTTAACGTTTGTAACACTGTTCTTTGCGCCTGTCTTTAAAAGATTTGATGTCATACAATGCATTTAGTCTCTATTGTAAAACCAGAATAGACTATATCTCCGGAATGTTCAAGGGCTTACTGTGATTTGATAAATGAAACGAGACGAACTGAAAATATGAACATCTCCGTGGTGTTCCTCGCTGAATCTTCACTCCGTTCGCGATGAGATCAAATCCTCTTCTGTATTTAGAGGAAGGACTGTGCCATTTAGCCATATAATGTAAATCTCTAATTAAATACACATTCCGTGAGGCTGCAGCTGTGCAATTTACAAAGTGTCAAGCATCGATATTCTCAGTCGATGAATAATTCGATTGCGTGACATGACACCTTCCTTGAAAAAATATCGCGTGACTAAAGTTGTTTCGCAGCATGTTTCTGATTGAAAAACAAGAAAAATTTTAAAAAAAGTTTTCGTTGAGGTTTCAGCAATAATAATGGTTTTTGTGTTATCATTTGTGTGATTTGTGGACTGAACTGTCCTATTCATCCTTGAGGGGCCAGGACATTGGGATTTTTTAGTATTTTTTATATCGGTTTTTGTGCCAAAAAAATTCGGTTTTTGGGATTTGGTGTTCATTGCGGTTTGCGGAGTTTCTGTCTTTTAGCATTTGGTTCCGATTTTCGTCAAAAATAATTGTCTCGTGAGCTTCGGATTTGATCTCCAATGTGGGTTTCGGATTTTTCTATTTGGATTCCAGTATCTCTTCGATCCTGACAAGCAGCCATTATGCGCCTCCACTGATCTCCAATAGCCGCGAAACCTCTGTATGCTCCACTTGTCAACACTGCATGGGATCGATTAGGGTTTTGAGAACTGGGATGTGAAC